ATTGACTGTCACATTATAACGCCTCCACGGCTGAAAGGGGCGAGCATATTTGGTGGGACGGTTCGAACCCGCAACCCTCAGTCTTCACAATGGGCTATTTTATGCTGTGCCCACCACAGGTGTCGAAACCAGATTTTCAGCGTCGCAAGTCCAGAGACTTGTGTGTGTGTGTGTTTTTTCTTATAACAAATTCACATTGGGCTATCTGTCGAAGGGAATCGAACCCCTGATCTTAACGTTGTAAACCCGTCCCCCAGTGGGAGCTAACCTACTGGATGAATACATAAACTTCTGTAATTGAAAATAATGTCAATCCCGATAAGTGCCCGCTTTCAGAGTGTGTCAAATGAAATAGTTTAATTTTGTATGTTTGTCAAGACGACGCATTTCACTTAACCCACAGCTCCTAAGCCCAGGTGGGATACGACAAACACAGTAGTAATTGGAACACGGTCTATGTAAGCCATTTGTTACAACAAATGTTATTCTAGCCACGCTGTATTTTTCATAACCATTGCCGACAACGCGTTTCGCTCACTTCAGTGTTCTTCAGGCCGGCTGGACTTTTTAAAAAAATTCTTCCATACAATCTATATTGGTTCGTATAAGATATCAAAACACTTGTGAAGCATCGGAAATTCTCGCAAAGAGTTGAGTGGAGGTGGAAATTCGTAAAATTTCACTGCTCATGAATCACCCTGACTAATGGTCGTATTAAGTAATTTGGCATGAATCTTCCAAGTAGTTCAGGACTAATTCTGTAATAGGAATATATAACTGAAAATACACTACTCACAAAAATTAAAGAATAAAAAAAGCTTGTTTAAATGTGTATACTTCTAGGTTATCAAGTTTTCAAAAACATTTATCATGATTATTGCAGTGAGTTGCACTAACCCTACCTAGAGTTTGCAAGTTTATGCACGAAATATTTCTTATGTAATACTAATAGGCCTTTATGAGAAAGGACCCAAGTTCTGCAAAGCAAAAGGCTAGTTTTGCTTGATTAGAAAAGCGTTTAATGTTGAGAAAATGCTAGGTTTGTGGAATTTTTTGCAGGTATTGACTTTTGCGCTTGTAATACTAACGGCAAGTCTCTTTGTAGCGTAAGGTAAAGTTTACCACTACTTTGTCACCCGAAAATAGTGTAAGAATGTTTTTCCCTCCTATAGTGCGCCCAAATATTTTGAAACAAAAAGTGCACATTATACACAAATATATGCGGTATCAGGAAGCACAATTTAACTGCGTTTACCTCTAAACGCAGCAGAACTAACGGTGAGATCTAGTATTAACAACCTCTATGTAAGAATTAACTCAAGTAAGTGTCCTATCATTAAGAACAAGTAATTTTCATCACCAAATTATTCAAAACATTGAACAATTATAATACATGTGAGTGGAATACCAGCAAGTATGATGATCAGGAAAACTACTAAAAATAATCAAAAAGAATCTAGCAGTAGAAACCAACAGTACAAGATTTTCATTGATGAAGTTTGCAGAAGGATAATAAACATTAAGAATATTTACTTGTTTATAGCCTTATGTAAAGTGGATACTTATAGCTTATAAAGCGGAAAATAATACTATTGAAAATTGGCAAATAACATGCATCGTGATTAAGTCCATCTTTCTTGTGAAATAATCAAGTAGCTTGTAAACAGCAGTGGAACTGAGCTAAGTTCACATGTTAAAATATCATGAAAATTAGTCTTAACTAGAAAATGCTTTAACTGATAATCACGGGTCTGAGTATTTTGAGAATTCCATTGTAGAATACTGAAATGGACATTCATTTATCCCCCGGTGCTCCCTAAAGATAATTTTAATTCATTCAGAATGCTTGGAAGTCTGAGCACATCCATTAACCACTTCTGCAGTACATGTACCAAAATCTAAATTAGATTTGGTACTCTCATTTAGTACAGGTAGGTTAGTTTCTATAAATAGATAGACTGTTTTAGTTTCATTTCCAACAGAACAAGTGGCAGTTTGGCTAGGAAACAACTGAAATGTTCAGCAAGTATAATATAATTATATGATGTGAGATAGGGCCTCTGCATATGAGGAGGTCCATGCAACTTGGCAACTGGATGCTACAAGTTTTTGCTTTCTTCTGTCATCGTATTGTATACTGTCTTAAGACATTAAAATTTGTTGCTTCAAAGTGTTTGGGACACTGTAAAAACTCCCCCAGCGATAATCCCACAGTTGGCCCAGCATGGCTGAGTTTCAAAGCACCCAGAGCGTGAATAGGACCACAAGTGGAACACTTAATAGAACCCCATAAAAAATATCAATGTATCCAAATCCTTGACAGTAATAACGCTGCGAAGATTTACTAAAAACATTCAAAACCAATCATCATCGTTGGATAATAGTCTGCATTGGACGCTTCACTGCAAGTAATGGATATCCCTGATTGAGTTCTTCACGTATTTCACCATCAATTATATCAGGGAAATATTTCCAGAGATCTCTCTCAGTACAAGACTGAGAGTAGTGAGCTTTGAACCTCCACTCTCCGAATTCAGAGATAGTTAATAGCTTTTGAGCTTACTCTTTGTCAGTAATCTCTATGGCAATGCCACCAATTCGTATACTCTGCATCTCTAAAATGGAATTAATAGGTAACTTCCTTAAAGCTTTAGCCAACTTCAATTGGTTAGATTGACTGAGTGCATAAGCTCTACTACTTTTTGTCCAGATGGTGTTGTTTCCAAACCCGTCTCAAACTGAGAAAGTTTAGGTTTAAGAGGTTAGTCATTTAAAGTTTTTAATATTTAGTTCCACTTTCTAGAGCGTGATGTCTATGCGAGGTACCATGTATAATCCTCAGACATCGATAACAGCCAGTGGTACTAATGAATACTAACTAAACACAACCAGACAGATAGATTAAGGAAAATAAATAAAATGAATTTCGGGGACACTCAGAGTAATGGAAAGATCCTTATACTGCAGGGCGCTCAGTAAGTACATTACAGTTAGTGAAAATTAATTTCTAAACCCGAGTGAGAAATTAAAGTATTGTCTAAGAACAAACTCGGAAAGAAGGGAAGTAAGCCTAACGGAAAATAACAGTTAGTCTTAAATGCAACAGCCGGATAATCGATCGTATGCTTAATCTAACTCTTTACTTATTTGCAAAGAAACGCTAACCAATTCATACTAACAGCAGTTTCTTCCCTTATACACAGACTCTTAAAGATGCTCATTATAATAAGAAACGAAAATTTTTGTTATGACATGAGCATCTTTTACAAGTCGGTGAAGCATGATTATAATTATACTTATCATATGACATTAATATTAGCCCTA